ATTTTGTTAAAATGATAATCTATTTATTAAAAATGTCTAAGACTGACCAATTAGAGTCAACCAAAGGCAGCTACGACATTCAAATAAGAAACTTTAATTCAACGGTCAAATTTTCAACGTTCAGAGACTCCAAAATGCCACGACTTTTCACTTTTAGTCCGCCTCCCGCCTCCGCCATGCCTCCATCTCCCTCGCTCTTCTCTCTCATCACCATATTCATCGCCACCATCCTTACGGCGGCACACTCCCAACACACCAACACCACCTCCTCCTCCTATGCCAACTGCAACCGAACCTTCACATGCGGAACGATCCGAAACATCATCTACCCATTCACCGGCGGCGACCGCCCCTCATACTGCGGCCTCCCCGAGTTCACTCTCACCTGCCGCGACAACAATGTCACCGAACTCACCCAGAACTCAGTGGCATACCGAGTTCTCCGCCTCGACCAGGCCGAGAAATTCATGATCCTTGCACCTTCACTCCTCTACGACAATCCCTGCCCTTCTGAATTCTACAACTCTACACTCAATTCTACTCTATTTCGCTACGAAGGCCCCGAAAACGAAGTAGTAAATTTAATCTACGGCTGCAATGGATCCGCCATGTCAGTGAAACCTCAAAATCATTTCAACTGCGGTTCCAGTATTTCGAATTTTACAGATTCTTATTATATAATCGGGCCAGTTTCAACTGACCCGATATTGAGATTCATAGTCTGTAGTGTTAGTATTAGGGTTCCAGTTTTGAAGGATTCGGGCGAGAGATTGACCGGATCAAGAATAAGTCTTGGCGAGGCCTTAATGCTGGGATTTAGTGTGAAGTATAATGACCCGTACCAGAGTATATGTTCAAAGTGTAATGGATCTGGTGGGCAATGCGGGTTCGATAGGAATTCGGGTCAACCCGTTTGTATTTGTGATGATAAGCTTTGTCCTTCTGCACCGGCTCCTCCACCGGAAGCTACTCGAAATGCTTCGCCAGGTACTTGGAAGTTTTGTGTAATGAATAATGATTTCGTCGTAATTGTTTGATTTTTAATTCAATATGGTACTTTGATTGGGATTGGATGAATTATTTATACCATTTTCCTATATAGAATCATAAATTTTCTTGCTTCATGCTACATCAGTTTTAATTATAATCAGGGGCGAAGCCAGCTTGTTGAAGTAGGGGGGTCCTAGAGTTGAAGGGGCGGGAGCTGCCCCCGAAAATTTTTTTTTAGAT